TCCTCTCTCATTTTGCTCTCTCATATATGCCTCTATTTATAGGCATTCATGGAAGCTCTTCTTGGTTTGTTGTCAACATTGGTGGCTACCAACTCTAGCTCATTCAACAATGGTGGCCACCAACTCTATCTCATTCAACAATGGTGGCTACCAATAGTCAATGGTAAATGGTTGGTGCCTTACATGAAATGGCAACCAACCTAACAATCACCCCCTTTGCCATTCATGTGGGGCAATTGTCCTCTTGCTTCTTCAACACAAGCTTGCATCTTGCAGCTCTTCCAAGCTTTCCATTCTGAGAGCATCTTTGACCAAGTTTATAGGTACTCGCCAAACCTTTCAATCATCAGAGTAACCAAAGCACACCTTTACACAAAAGGATCACTATAACCAGATGGTCTGCCACATCACATCTGAATAGTGTTAACACTTGTCTCTGGAACAACATTCCCCTTCAACCATGCTTGGTCCGAAATGATTCATCAAGCCTCACATCAAGGCTTACAACACCCCCTCAAACGGATATTTCAAGTGCGACAGTCATTATCTGAGTATCTCAATATGATCACAAGCTCACCACTCTTCCAAGAGTCTACTCATCCAGGAGTTGCGTCTGCCCTCTGTTCCACCCTAGGAACCACGCCTTACTTCTCCATGAGTCTCTCGCTCTTAGTCTCAAGAGTCCAGGTAGCTTTCCACCTTTAACCATGAGGGCAGCCCATAAAAGGTTGATCCATATCTGTCTTCATACTCTGAGTATTACAATGCCATTACCGAGCTCACCACCTTGACAAGAGTCAACTTGTTCCCGGAACCTGCGCATGCCCTCTACTCCTTCATAGCAGCCACGTCTTAATGCTCCACAAGTCATCCACTTATTGTCCAAGGCAAATGTCTTCTAGCTCATTGATCTTTAGCATGGGGGCAATATCCATGAAAGTCAATCCTGCATTTGTCTCCATACTCATCATAGCCCTTTTATTGGCTATCCATCTGTCCACTCATACCTAGCCATCACATTGGCTCTGGGGCGTTTTGAACTGGGCTCCTTCCACGACCCTCACACCTTCTCCTGAGGTGTCTCCGCTCGTCGTCATGCAGCGGTCTAATCATGGGCTCATCTCATAGCCCCCACACCTTCTCTTTAAGGTGTCTTCGCCTTTTATAGGCGGTCGCATCCTCCTTCAGCTAAGATGCTTCAAAGTGGCTCAATAAATTCTTTACTACTAATTACATAGAAAGAGAAAGTTGCGGTATACTCCTTGCAATCCTCCACCTCAATTTCTATGTTTGGAGCTTCTACGCCTTTTTTGCTTAACAGCTCCACCCGCACCAACTCCCTTTGGTGTCTTCGCCTTTCATCATAGGCGGTCGCCTTTTATCACAGGCGTTTGCACCCCCTCAATTAGGTGCATCTGCAACAGCTCATCCTTCCATCCTTGCATGCATTGAAAGGTCCTCGCTTGTTGCCTTTATCAAGAGCACAAGAGACTTTTGTTGTACAACTTTTTCATAGTCTCTGCTCTGAGCTTCATCTGGGAACTCTTCTTCTCCTTGCACCTGTTGTCTCATTATAGTACCTCGTTGGATCCTCCGGGTACTCCTACACAATCTTCATATGCTCTCGTGCAATTTTGGTTCTCCAAATTTCTCCCTATTCCTTGCTTATGTTTGACAGCAGCTCATCCTGTCACAACATCTATCCAAGTTTAAATAGGGTGCCAATCTTTATCCCTTTGCTGTATTTCTCTTCCATTATCAGGGTCTTCATCAATTCTCCCCTCGAGAAATTATTGTCACCGAATCTAACTTCCTTGGAGAAATCACCACTCCATCAAATCCTTGATCATACGGAACCCAACTGTTCCTTTGTGCCGTCATCCTGCTAGTCTTCAACAGTTTCATAACAAACTGTCACATATACGAAAATAGTACCGAAGGCTCTGATACCAATTGTTGGGAATTCCTACCTCACCCCGTGATGTTCTGATACTTGCTCATAGGAGGCCAAGCACACTGACACAATATTTAACGTGGTTCGGCAAAACCGCCTACATCCATGGGAGAAGCCATTACATTATGTAGGGAGAGTACAAGATTTACAACAATAGAGGAGGAGGAATCATCCCCTCTTTGAGCAACTCTCAACCTCACTCTATTGCTCTCCTTTTGTGCTGCAATGGCAGTTCACTCTCTCCTACATTTCTCACCTCTTTGGCTCTACGTCCTCTCTCATTTTGCTCTCTCATATATGCCTCTATTTATAGGCATTCATGGAAGCTCTTCTTGGTTTGTTGTCAACATTGGTGGCTACCAACTCTAGCTCATTCAACAATGGTGGCCACCAACTCTATCTCATTCAATAATGGTGGCTACCAATAGTCAATGGTAAATGGTTGGTGCCTTACATGAAATGGCAACCAACCTAACACTCCTGTGATGAAATTGTTGCAAGTATGATTCACTTTTTGTAACTAACACTTCTATGTTTTTTTTTTTTTTAAAAAAAGATGATCATTACGACTATCTTAATTAACTTTGATATTATTTTTCAGCTATTGGATTAGATAAGTGAATTTATAATCCATATTATCAATTTTTATTCAGATACTATAACATGGTGCGAGAATTTATTTATTTTTTTTCATATATTGAGATGTGAATGGTGTATCTAAAACGCAACCTAAGGATTTGTTTTCTACTATATATAGGCCATCCATTAAGAACATGTTGCAGTCTCTACCAAAGAAGATGCAACAAGTTGCAATACTTTCAAGAAATGGACTCTCTATTTCATCGTTCTACTCTTTGTCGCCATCATTATCTCTCTCATTGTCATAATTTACAAGCACAGATACCGGGATAAACTCCCTAACCTTCCTCCAGGCAATCTAGGCCTCCCTTTTGTGGGAGAGAGCCTAGTTTCCTGTCAAAAGGATGGAAAGGTTGCCCAGAAAACTTCATATTCGATCGCATTCGGAAATATTCTTCAGAAATATTCATAACAATTCTTTTTCTTCAGCCTGTAGTGATGTTAAATGGTGTTGCGGGAAACAAGTTCTTATTCTCCAATGAGACCAGACTTGTTGAAACATGGTGGCCTGAATTTGTGAACAAGATATTTCCATCGGCAGTAGAAACGTCACCCAAAGAAGAAGCAAAAAGAATGCGTAGGCTGTTCCCTCGATTTTTGAAACCTGAGGCCTTGCAGAGGTATATAGGTATCATGGATATGGTTACCAAAAGACACTTTGCCTTGCAATGGGGAAACAAAGCAGAGGTGGTCGTCTTCCCTCTGGCAAAAAGCTACACATTCGAGTTGGCTTGCCGCTTGTTTCAAGTATTGAAGATCCCAGCCACATAGCCAGATATTAAAAAATTCCTTTAAATAAGTATAAAATCGAGCATACAAGGAAGCAAATTCAGAATTCCTAATCTGATGGGAAAATAAACATAAAATCTAAAATTAAGGTTAAAAATTCAAAATTAAAGAGGGAAATAATGAAACTAAATTGAGCAGCATCTTGTGAGTCTTTTTGAAATGACTTCTTGATGTGAGCCAGCAAAGCCAGCTAGCCCGAATCTCTTGGGATCTCATGTAGAGCTTGGCCCTATCCCACTAATCTATAAAAAGATCCGCATTTGCATTTGACTGTTCAGAACTTCCAGTGACACATTTGACAAATTTTTGTTCAGTGTGTTGAAGGCCTTTTACTTGTTGTGGTCTGAGATTGATGGGAGCAAGTTCAGAAAAGGGCAACAATTGAACCACCCTACAGGATTTCAAGCTCACACTCTGTCACTTTTCTTAGAGTTGACTGTTGGATCTAATTATATTGCTGTTTGATTACAGAGATTGTTGCAAATGGTACGTAGAGATTCAAATCAAATGGTGGGCCTAATTCCGTTTTCAAGGTTTTTTTTTTTTTTAATGAAAGTACTATAAATTAGAGAAGGTATTAAAATAAAAATAAAAATACTAATTTTACTCCATAGAATAAGTGGGTGTTTGGGAATGCTTTTTAAAAGTATTTTTTAAAAAATTTAATTTTTTTTGAATTAATATATTTTTAATGTTTTTAAATTATTTTGATGTGCTAATTTCAAAATTGATTTAAAAAAAAAATTATTATTAATATATTTTTTTGAGTGAAAAATACTTTAAAAAGCAACCACAATTATATTTTTAAATATTATGGATTGTTGCAATATATTGATGATTTTACTCTTTATAATTGCAAGGGAAGGGCAAAGTTTTGGGAGCAAAATGGTATTTTCATGGGTTGAAATGGCATTACAATTATCTAGGGTAAATCAATCTTTTCATGTTTTTATTATGTAATAAAATTATTGATTTATCTTTTAAAAACAAAAATTATAACCTATAGGCAAGGGTGTTTTGGGATTTTTAGTTTTTGTTGAAGAATGTAATTACTTCGCTATCGTTGCACTATTGTTTTTCTTGAACTTGGACCTAGGGTGTTTATATTATTTCACTTCGGCTTTCATGTAATCGTCAATTATAGTTAGGGGCTTTGACTTTCCTCCACCCATCTGGCATTCATCTATTTTATATCATTTAAAACTTTTACTTTGTGCTGTGGTAAAACAAATCAAAATGATTAAGATGTTGATTACTATATATTCACTACGATAGATATGATGGTAACTACTATTATCGTGTCAGATGAGCTCAGCAATGTGTAGTGGAAAGGAATGGAAACTGAAATACATGGAAATTCATCTTCTTTTCTTGACAGAAAACCAATCCACCGGATCTATAAATAATTTTAATCTTCTGGCCAACATCCAAACAATAAAAAAATTTAATTTAAAATAAAATAAAAATAACAAAACAATAGTCCAACGGCAATGATAATCATGCTCTTAAGCTGCTGGTTCTGGTGGGTTGGGCCTTTTCTGCTCAATTAAAGCTGACTAACCGAAGCTGGTTGTCGGGACTTGGGACCTTAGATTTGAGACAACTTGTTTTTTATTAGAAATGACAGAAGGCCAACTTCCCTCTCTACGTCAATCATCAAAGTTATTGTTGATTCGACGAAGATACAATTCTTTTGATGGGGATTTGCTGGAGCCGGACTTCTGATAAGTCAAATCCAACCCCTGTTGACCCCCCTCCTCCCTCAGATGCTGCCCCTGCCCCTGCCCCTGCCTCATTCTCTGACCCAGACGCAGCTCCTAGCTCTTTTGGGCATCTTGATGGTTAGTTTCCAACCATTAGTTTAACTCAATCCTGTTATTTATTGTTGTTTTGGTTTGTTTTTGAAACTATTAGCACTTCAATCATCTGTTATTCATAAACTTATTAGTTCAATTATCTCATTAGTCAATCCTTCAATTAAAGCTCGGTTTAATAGTGCAACTAATATAACCAGATGATACATCTTTCGGGGGTAGCAATGTCTCCGGAAGCAGCTGGCTCTCTATGGCAACCACCAATTTAACGACGTGGATGTATCAAGCAAGCGGTGCTATTGCAGCTATTTGGGGCAATGTCCCTGATGACAACGAATTCCTAGTTTCTGTAGATGATGAGGCCCTTCCGGATGTGGGATCTGGATCAGACTCAAAGTTAAGAGCTTTCACATTTGAGCAACTGAAGGCAGCAACTTTGAATTTTCGTAGCAATATGGTACTGGGAGAAGGTGGTTTTGGAAAGGTCTATCAAGGTTGGCTCAAGGAGAAGGTAGCATCTCAGGGCACAAGGAAAAGGCCCATTGCTGTCAAGAGATTGGATTCCAACAGCAAGCAAGGATATCGACAGTGGCGGGTAATTCTGTTTTGTTGTTTATCTCTTGATGTGCCAACCTTTAGGTTTCTTCATTTGCACGTTTAGCTCAGATTGAAACACTTGGTTTGATGGGTCTTTTGCCTTGGTTGATAGATAGCTTAGCTGCTAGTTTCTTTCCAAACTACTTATGATCAAGTCCTGTTTACAAATGCGATTTATAAGAACGAAGAAATTGGTAACAACAGTCCTTAGAAAGGGCATAATTGTTAGATACTAATTCGGTAGCCATTTTTCTGGTGCAGACAGAGGTGGGTTTCTTGGCAAGGCTTTCTCATCCTAATGTTGTAAAGCTGTTGGGATACTGTCGAGAAGATGAGGAGCATGTTATTGTTTATGAATTCATGAAAAAGGGCAGCTTAAATTACCATTTGTTTGGAAGTAAGAACAAGCAATGAATTCTAGAGTCCTAGTCTATGATCCCAATCGTGTGTTCTGTAGATGAAATAAACTCATTTAGTTCTCTTGCCCTCCATTTTATACTCCTGCAGAGGGCTCTGATCGAGTGCTTTCGTGGGAGACAAGGCTTAAGGTTTTAATAGGAACGGCTCAAGGCCTTGCTTACTTGCATACAATGGAGAAACCGATAATTTTCAGAGATTTCAAGACCTCAAATATATTGCTTGATGAGGTAAAGTTCTTTATAATCTGCATTATCAACCAACACGATATGACTAACTCATTCAATAAAGACAGTTTCATGATGTGTATATTTTCTCTCATTCAATAAAGACAGTTTCATGATGTGTATATTTTCTCGCCATCTTCACCAGAAAGTTTTGCTTCATGTTGATCTATTTTCTTCAAAAATCCCCTTCCCTGCAAAGTTCAATCTTAACCACTACCAACCGTGATTCGCCCTGTCATTGGTGGCAGAGGGAAATGCCGAACGAGCAAAGTCTTGCTTGAGAGTTGGCAAAAATATTTAAGAACGTATTATAATATGATTCATAAGACATTAAGTTCCTTCTACATCAAATCTTCTGCAGTCTTACACTCCAAAGTTATCGGATTTTGGCTTGGCAAAATGGGGACCTGCAGACGGTGAATCGTATGTATCAGGACATGTTATGGGCACAATTGGCTATGCTGCTCCTGAGTATGTTGCTACAGGTAATTTAGTTGTTTATTTCTCAAGTGGGATGCCTCAATGATTGAATGATGTTTTGCTTTACAGATCATTCAAACTTCTAATTGTTAGGATGCTGGCATGCAAACCCGATAAGATAAAAGATAAGAGACCGGATAAAATGAGAAATGGAATACACAAGAATTTACGTGGTTCACCCAATTGGGCTACGTCCACAAACAAGTATAGAAGGATTTTACTAAGTAATATGGGAATTACAACCTCTCTTGAATAATAGGAGAACAACTAAGAATCTCTCTATTATTAGGAGAAAACACCTCACTTACTCTATCACAAATACCTCACAATTTTGTGGAATTACTCTCTCTTCACTCTCTTCTTCTTCTCTCTATTTTGGTGTGCATATAGGCTTGAATGCATTGCCTATTTATAGGCAAGAGTGAAGGTATAATGGTCATAAATTTAGGAGGAATATATGCCTAACAACTCATCCTCCACTCATACTCCACCAATTACAACTCATCTCCCACTCAAATCCCATCAATTATGCCACCTAATTAAATGGCTTTACATTCTCCCACTTGAAGACTTTGATGAGTTAATCAAGTCTTCACACTTGATCTTTTGTGATTCTTCTATCATTTCTATACTTGTCATCTTCACGCTACTTACGTTTCTGCTAGGCCATAAGAGGATCTGCACCATATATACTTATCAGTGTTGACCGGTTTCGTCAAAGCATTTGCTGGGTTTTCCTTTGTGTGAATCTTTTGAAAATCCACACTTCCATCTTCCACCACTTCACGAACAAAGTGATACTGAACATCGATGTGTTTTGTTCTTGAATGAAACGTTGGATTCCTTGCAATATGCAAGGCACTTTGACTATCACAATACAAAAGAATATTCTCTTGTTTGTGCCCGAGCTCCTTCATAAGTTTCTTCATCCATATTGCTTCTTTACAAGCTTGTGTAGCTGCCATGTACTCAGCTTCTGTTGTGGATAACGCTACAACAGTCTGTAGTTTAGAGACCCAGCTCACAGCTCCTCCTGCAATTATGAACACATAACCTGTAGTGGACTTTCTTTTCTCAAGGTCACCAGCAAAATCTGAATCAACATAACCTCTGATAGTAAATTCTAATCCTCCATAACATAATGCAGCATCTGAGGTACCCTTGATATATCTCAAGATCCTCTTAATAGTATTCCAATGCTCTCTACCAGGATTTGCCATGTATCGACTAATTGCTCCCACTGCTTGTGCAATGTCTGGTCTTGTACATATCATGGCAAACATTAAACTTCCCACTGCTGATGCATACAGTACTCGAGACATCTCCATCCTCTCTGTTTCATTGCTAGGATACATACTTGAGGATAATTTTAAGTTAATAGAAAGTGGGGGTGGAAATTGGCTTACAATCTTGCATGTTGAAGCGTCGCAAGATCTTCTTTAAATAATTCTTTTGAGAAAGCCAAATCTTCCTCTTACTTCTGTCTCGGTAAATTTGCATCCCTAGAATCTTGTTTGCTGGTCCCAGGTCCTTCATATCAAACTCCCTAGCCAACTGTGCCTTCAATTCTTGGACTCGATCTTTGTTGGGGCCTATCACCAACATGTCATCCATGTACAACAACAAAATGATGAAATTTTCTTCAAACCTCTTGTAATACGTACAATGGTCTGAACTGAGTCTGTTGTACCCAAGGCTAATTATGAAGGAATCAAATCTCTTATACCAACACCTCGGCGCCTGTTTGAGACCGTATAGAGATTTGTTCAACCTGCAAACCAAGTTCTCCTTGCCTGTTTCAGCAAAACCCTCTGGTTGGAGCATATAAATTTCTTCTTCAAGTTCTCCATGAAGAAATGCAGTTTTCACGTCTAACTGCTCCAAGTGAAGATCAAATATAGCACATATTGCCAAGACTACTCTGATTATCGTAAGTCGTACCACCGGAGAAAATATCTCATTGAAGTCTATTCCTTCTTTCTGAGCATATCCTTTCACCACCAATCTCGCACGATACCGCTCCACTTGATCATTGCCATCACGTTTTATCTTGTAAATCCATTTTTTACCAATGGCCTTTCTTCCTTGTGGTAGTGGAACAAGATCCCAAGTATTATTCTTGTGCAGAGCTTCAATTTCCTCTTGCATTGTTGTCATCCACATAGATACATCTGTGCTTTTGATAGCCTCATGGAAAGTTGATGGCTCTCCATCCTCTGTTAGAAGACAGTATGCAATGTTACTTTCAGTAATATATTCTGAGTGCCAAGCCGGTGGTCTTCTTTCACGAGTTGACCGCCGAACTTCAGGAGTTTCAGACTCTATTTGTTCTTGCTCTGGTATAGCTTCAAAAGAAGCATGATTCTGAGTATTTTCTACATGGACTACTGTAGTCTCCTTTAGAATGCTATTATGTTCTTTCATTTGCATTTTACCTTCTGCAAATATGACATCTCTGCTGATCACTACATTGTGGGCAGTGGGATCCCACAAGCGATACCCCTTCACTCCATCAGCATATCCCAAAAATACACATTTTCTGGATTTTGAATCCAACTTGCTAACTTCTTGTGTATTGTACATCACGTACACAGGACTTCCAAATATATGCAATCGAGAATAATCAGCTGGTTTTCCAGTCCACATCTACATCGGTGTCTTCAGCTCAATTGAGGTTGATGGAGATCAATTTATCACATAACAAGCGGTATTGACTGCTTCTGCCCAGAATGACTTTCCTAGACCTGCAGCCTTCAACATTGCTCTTGTTCTTTCTAATAGAGTTCTATTCATCCGCTCTGCCACTCCATTTTGTTGTGGAGTGTATGCCGTTGTGAAGTTGCCTTTTGATACCTTCATGTTGACAAAAGTTATCAAATTCATCACTGGTATATTCTCCTCCATTGTCAGTCCTCAAACACTTGATCTTCTTTTCAGATTCAAGTTCCACCCGTGCTTTGAAAGTTTTAAAGACTATAAGCACATCTGTCTTCCTTCTAATTGGATACACCCAACATCTCTTGGAGAAGTCATCTATGAATGATACAAAGTATCTTGCTCCTCCCAAGGATACAACCGGTGCTTGCCAAACATCAGAGTGAATCAGGTCTAAGATGCATTTGCTCTTAGTTGTAGATGTGCCAAACTTCAACCTGTGTTGTTTACTTGTAACACAATGCTCACAAAAAGGTAAAGTAACCTTGTAAGCCCAGGGAGTAACTTCTGATCAGAGAGAACCTTTAAACCTTTTTCTGACATGTGACCTAGTTTTTTATGCCACATCATCGTCTTCTCTTCTGTAGGACTGGCTGATGCGATTGACGCTTCTGCCTCATGATGTGTTTCTCCCATTAATGCAAATACATTTGCAACTATCTTTCTTGACTTTAAAACCACCAGCGCTCCTTTGATGATTTTCATGATTCCATTTTCTGTTCGGATCTTACAGCCAAGACTATCAAATTGTCCTATGGACAAAAGATTCTTCTTTAAGTCTTTCACATGTCGCACTTCTGAAATAGTACGAATTAAGCCATCATACATCTTTAATTTGATGGTGCCAATGCCAACAATCTCTAAAGCATGATTATCACCCATGAACACTTTGCCTCCAGAGATAAGTTTATATGTATGGAACCAATCTCGATTAGGAGTCATATGCCATGTTGCTCCTGAATCCATTAGCCAGACCTCAGTGAGCTCTTCTGTATCTGTAGAGATTGTCGCTGCTTCACTATATAAAACATCTCCATCTTCTGAGGTGCTTGCAACACACCCTTGAGATTTTGATGACTCTGCAGAATTCTCTATACCCTTTTTAAACCAACAATCCTTTTTGAAGTGCCCCTTTTTGCCACAGTTGTAGCATTTCACAGCCTTCTTACTTCTTGATTTGGACCTCTCCTGCCTTTGACTCCCACTAGAGCCACGCTCCGTTGATCTTCCTCTTGACACCAACAACACCTCTGCTTGGTTTGAACTGTTTCTGTCTCCTTTGTTTTTGTGCCTATTTTCTTCTTCCAAGATAGCGGCTGCAACATCATCGAAGACTATATAATCTGAGAGGATATTATTTGTCAAGTTGATAATGAGATGATCATACGAATCAGGAAGACTTTGAAGTAGAAGCTCTGCACGTTCATTTTCCTCTATTTGCTGACCCAATGTAGTGAGTTGTGAAAATAGAGTTCTTATTGTGTTGATATGGTCAGTCACCGATGTGGTTTCTGCCATTCGAAGGGTATAAAGTCTCCGCTTTAAGAAAATTTTATTGTGCAAAGACTTGGACTCGTATAGCTTTGTTAGAGTCTCCCATATCTCCTTAGCTGCTTTCTTCTCCGCCACACTTGATAATACTTCATCGGCTAATACTAAATGTATGTTAGCAATAACATTGCCATCCATCTCATTCCATTTTGCATCATCAGTGATCTCCGCGGGCCGATCCCTAATTGCTGCCAAGCAATTGTCTTTCCTTAAAATTGCCTTGATTCTCATTTTCCACAATGAGAAATTGCTCCCATTAAACCTCTCAATCTCGTACTTTGCTGCCATTGTATTCACCAAGATCTATTCAGCTATCACCGTTTCATAGATCTGTAACGTATATAAAAATAGTATCGTGTGAATAATACTTCACTAAGTAAGTTTCCAGGAAAGATTGGAGGGGTCACAAACGGTCCCGCTTAAAACTCAATCTCCTTAGACAGAACTTCCTAGACTGTATTTAATCACCGCACTGACTTTCTATATCCGCCAACAGCAACGTATGTGAACAGTGCCGTATGGATGAATAGTGCCGTATGGATGAATAGTGCCGTATATGTGAATAGTACCCGTATACACGAATAACTTTTGTGTATTAACAACACCAACCAGGAGGCTCTGATACCACTGTTAGGATACTGGTATGCAAACCCGACAAGATAAAAGATAAGAGACCGGATAAAATGAGAAATGGAACACACAAGAATTTACGTGGTTCACCCAATTGAGCTACGTCCACAGACAAGTATAGAAGGATTTTACTAAGTAATATGGGAATTA